TGTACCTATCTGCTGGGTAAAACCAGCAGCTGACAGTATTTGGCTGTGCTGGTTTAAATAAAGCTGCATTGCCCTTTTAGACTTAACATGGTGTTGCGTTACTTATCGGGAATGGAAGGGTAACGGGATTTGGTGATCAAAGGAATCAACAGTCATGCCCTGAAAGATGTATAATTCACAACAATCATGAAGTGATTTCAATATAACTGTCTTGGTTAATAATTAATTATTCCTTCTGCAAAAAATACATTACACAATATGAGGCATCTCTTTTCATGTACTACACATTAGTATAAAAACTATATATTTCCAGGGAAACATATGGAAGATCTTTAATCCTGTTTACTGTAACTTTATTGGCAAACAGTTTGTGTAATGACCTAACTGAATCCTGCAACTTGCAAAATATGCTACATAATATTTGTTTTTAATATTTCCCCCCCCTGTTAATTAAGTGTTCTTGCATAGCAAGACCACTTAATGTTATCTCACATATATATTATTATTATTATAGCCAAATTTACCACCCTAACTCCTCCCACAGTTTTTACACTACATAGACAGTAATATTCCGAAACGTGCGGATTGTTCCCGATTGGATTGCTATTACTTTGTGGAACGTTTCGCCGGAATATCGTCGTTGTTGTGGTGAAATTTGTCCCATAGGAATGAATGGCAAAATGTTCAAAACTAGAGTGGGAGCTGGCAAAAGCTGAAAAATCAGGACATGATTTCTAAACTGCCACCACTACCTAATTTTCAAGCCCACCTACACAAATCTTATATCAAAACGTTCAGCTATCCCTGCTGCCACTAACAATGTCCACGGCTAAGCTATAGTCCTGATAGTTTTCACAATATGACCATTTGTTTGCAACTCACGCCGTCCATTGAGATTCATTGAAACTCCACTCTAGCCAGCTGAAACTTGAAGGGCAATTTCTAAACTGCGACTGTGCCTTCCTTTTTAATATTTCAGAGACATACTATGCATCAAAATGTAGGTCTGGGTCTTGTGATTCTCACAATATAAAGCTCTTTGCTGTAGGATTTACCGTTTGAAGATGGCAACTGCCAAAATACTCTGACCTGTGCCAGGCTGCAGCAGCAAGTGATGTCATAGACAGGGCATTTTGTACACCTGCTAATGTTTTTATAAATGTATGGTTTAATGTAACTGTGCAACAACGTTGCAATTAAATGTGCTATATAAATGATAACAGTTACTCCGCCCACTCCAGTTGTAGACTACAGGTGGAGGCAAGAACACTTCACACAATTTCCCCAGAAATTGTAGCTTTTCTAGTTGTAAAGTATAAGTGCAGGAATATGCCAATTACTTGTATCCTATATATTTTAATGTAGATACTTGTGTGTGAACATACATTTTTTTCACATGACTGACTTGCAAGGTATGTTTATAAAATGCTTCCTTGTAAAGTTATCTTGAATGAACTTGTCTCTATCACCAAGCATTGTCCTGTACAAAAGATGTTCCTCCACATAATATATTCCAGTGCATCGTCTGGAATTTAATAACTATAAAATGCATGGTGCAGCAAGCCAGGACAACAGAAATCACATCTTTCAGGATTATTGAGTAATATGTGAATTGTTGGAAGTTCAAAGTGAATTTTAAATTTTAAATCAAGATAGTGAAAGTGAAAACATAGCTGATTTTTACCAATTAAGCTATTTTGGCCTTAAGATTTAAATTTACTTTGAAATCGCGAAAATGAACAATTCAGTGAATAACCCCTATAGTAGCCTATCACTGCCACAATTAAAAAAAAAAAAAAAAAATTCTAATTTGCGGACAAAGCAGCTGAACTGGAAACATTATTCAAGTCATCTCTGCTTCCAGTTTGGCTACTTTGCCATTAAATTTGAATTTCTGACAATTCCCACTTTGCAGGGTTATTTAGTAAAGCAAAAAAAAAAATTGTCAGGAATTCAATGTGAGTTTCAGGTGAACTGGAAGCGAAGTTGAATTTTTCCCTTGCAGAAGTGCTCTTGGTGCAATGTTCCAATCCCCTTAAACCTGCAATGTTAAGTAATGCAGTTTCTGATACACTGCAATAATTACATTGCACGGTTAAGACTGCCTCTCTTTGCTGTCAATCAGACAGCCACTAGAGGCACTTCCTGCTTATTAGGCAACTGTAGGTTGGACATGAGGACATCCAGCATAAGTAAAATCCCCATAGCAAAAGCAGCAGTAATGCTTTCCTATTAAGAGGGTCCAATGCGCTTGCATACGCATTAACGCCCCCCATTAGGTGACGGAGGAGGTGGACTAACAAACTGGGGGAAGGGGGAAAATTCAAGGGGAGGTTGGTGCAAGGGAGCTAAAGAGCTAAAAATACAACATTGTATTCCTAGCACTATGGTATCCCTTTAAACTTTAAATTCACTTTTAAGGTTATTTACTAAAATGTGAATTCAAGGCGAATTCAAAGTGATTATCAAATTTAAGACCAGAGCAGCCAAACTAAAAGCATATCTGACTTAAGGAATGTTTCCAGTTCAGCTAGTTTGACCTTAAATTTGAAATCTACTTTGAATTCATACTTTAGTGAGCAACCCTGCTTGAATGCCTGATAAGTTTTACTTTAGTAAATAAACCTACAAGTTATGACTTCCTTGAGTATCAAAGGCAACAAATGAAAACGTAATTTGCTGGTGTGTGCATTTATTGTAACACATCAACAGCTGCCATTTTAGTACATAAAGACTGATATAGAAATTAATATTATCGGATCACTTTTTATGTAGACAGGCACTTTTAGTGTTACAGATCTGTTTATTTAAATGCCCCACCCATTAACTCATAGTCAATAAGAAAAAAAATAAAAATACCTTGCACAAATGACATAAAGCTGACACGTCTCACTCAGTAATGCTGTTCTTGCAGTCATTTGGTATTGCCTTCTTATACGCAAGAATTGTTTTAAATATGATGATATGTCGATACAGTTTGGCTTTTACTAACATTATTCTTTTGCAAATTTGAGCAAACTCTGCTTGACAACACAAAGGAATTTTCCCATGGATCAGCTAAACAGTGACTCACATGAAAGACTTGCCGAAAGTGGTCATGCCCTCTGAGCAAATAAGACAGGCATGAGGAACTCTGGTTTTGGCCTAACACTTTCAGAAATACCCAGCGTAAAATCTTATTGATTGCTACCAGGGTCACCTACCTATATTTACTCAAGTTGCAGACCAAAGAATTAGTGAACTCTGAGAGCTGTCACAGCATGTTTAAGAGATATTTCCTGTTCTTTTCAACAGCTACAATGAAACACTGTAGACTTAGGCAGGTATACGTTTTTATTTTTGTTGCAACAAAAATGCATGCAAAAAACTACAATATAAATAAATGAGGGAATAGAAAATAATGTTTTTCAAAAAATAGATCAAATTAATGAACTACAGTGAGAATTCAAAGAGCATTTTAAATATAAAATACAAAATACAGTAGCTGAAATGAAAAAAATAAAAGCTATGCCTTAAGTGTGAAATTATCTAATAATTCACTTAGAATTTTCACTGTAGTGAATAACCCTACTAGGTTCCACTGGTATTTTAATTTTCCTACCCGCAGCATTTATATTCTACATACTACAAGGCAGAACTTTTCATGTTCTGCTCATGACTACATAGAAGGGATATGTGTCCAGGTCAACTCGGTAAGACTTGTCAGTCCTGTTTCTAATTTCGCTATACGCTGTAATAATGTTTCTATGACATTTTACAATGACAAATTAGTCAAACACTATATATGATCTGACCTCCGTTCAACTGTGAACTACTACTCCCATGAACTAGAGGGACTTCTAGGTGGTTAGGTGACCAAAAGTCGCCTAAATGACACTGGACGCTGTGTATGATCAGTCAAATCCCCAATCAAATCTCCATAGGAAAGCATTGAAACAATGCTTTCCTATAGGGAACCCTAATGTGAGCACAGCACTTCCCACACATGCGCATTAGGTCTCCCTCCAGAGGCTGATGTTGGCGGTGAGGAGGGTGAGCGGAGCCTGACCCTGTGCTGATGGACCTCATGCTGCATTTAGTTAGGTGACTAAAGGGGTTTTAACCCCTCAACTCTGCGGGGAGGGGGGGAGGCGAGGGAGGGGGCACTGTAGGACCCTATAGTGTCAGGAAAATGACTTTGCACTATAGTATCCCTTTAACCTACAACCCTGATGAATCTTCGAAGGTAAGCTATCTTTCAGTAGACTCTGAATAATGAATTGGCAAAAAAATGCATTTCCTTGAAACACATGCTCATATAAAACCCCAGATAAACAATCAGCTGACTGTGAATGATAAGCACTGTAGCTTGCAGCAATAGTAGCAACAACTGAAGGTATTCTCCAGACCTGGACATAAACAAGTTATTAAAATAAAATAATTCATTATTTATTTACTAAAATAATGCACTGTTTAGTAGATATACCACCACTTAATACATTCATGCATTTTTTCTGCATGTATTTATTGGGGGCATAAATAAAAAAAAAAAGCTTGTAGCTAGTTCTCATGACTGCAGCCTTTGCAGGCCCACCCTTTATTCGCGAGAAGAGACTTTCAGTCTCTTCACAGGGAAATAGCCAATCGAGGTGGCTTCTCATTGAGAAGCTCCCCACAATGCGCACGTGTGCACAGCATTCAGGATAAACATTGTATGATCTGACAGGAAGTACTGCCAGTTCTATTAGCTGGGGAGAGGTAACGGACCCTGGAATCAAATCTCCCTTGCTGATTGTTTCACAGTCAGGTGGTGTTTCATTGAATATAATAGTACTGATTTCACATATAAAGTGTTTAAATGGGATACTCCTTACATATAAAGCTCTTCAGAAAGCTTAAGTGCTTTATGGGTGTGAAGTAGTCCTTTAATCCCATAATAATCAGAAGAAAGGCAATATTCCCTTTATATTTTATTTATATTAATTCTAAAGCACCAGCATTTACTGAAACGCTGCTGGACAGGTCAGAGTTACAGTGTTGAACTTACTAAAATTGCAAGTACCACAAATTTGAATAAAAAATAAATACAATTTTCATTTTCAGGACAGGTCATCATTCAATAGAAACTCTGCACATGGATTGTGTGATTTGCTGAATAATATCCACACGTAAGGCATTTAACACAGGGATCCTAATCAAAGTGAGCTATTCCTTTTTATTGAAGATACTCTGATTAAACAATAAGAGTGTTTTCAGCTACTATGGAAAGTATCACATTTCTAATTCACTCAAGTTATTCATTCTCAAAAGGAAAAAAAATTGTGTTTGTGGAAGGTATTTTATACTTTTTTTTTTCTGTGACTAGATTTTAGAGGGACCCCTACTGGTCAACAAATTAGAAAACCAAGATCTTTAGAGGGACTTTATAATTGCCACCTACAAAGGGTTAGCCAATACATGTTCTCAGCAATCTCAGGAATGTGCAATATGATACAAACAACAGGTTGGGATCTATAGGGTTAATTTAATACTGATAACCTTCAAGAATATAGTTAGTTAAAACACTTAGACAGTGTGTGCATACCTGGGAACCTGCTTGCTTTGAGACACTTTCATGTGTCTCACAGCAAGCTATGTTGTAACTTTAAATGACAAAATGATTGTATATCATGACTTGTGATACTGTTTGTATGTATACTTCCCAATCACCTGCTTCAAAGGAAAGGCTTTCTAGAAGTAAACATAAAATATGAATGACTTAACTCCAGACAATGTGATTTTGAACTTTCACTCAGGAAACTCTGAGAATGTGGAAAAAAAAAAAGACATTAGACCAGGGGACAATAAGAGGGCCACACACACAGAGACCAGTATACTTTCTAATTGTTCTGGGTGTAACAGGCTAGCCCTGGTATAGGACTCACATCCAGGCTTTGTGTCATATCATCTAACATTTAAAAAATAAAGAAAGGGGCACTTTTGTGTTTTGGTGTGTGGGCGGTGAATTGGCCAGGGGCTGGCTGTTTTGAGACTATAGAAACTAATTTGAAAAAAAGAGGCAGTAGAGGAGGATACCATTATCTTTTTTAACCTTGCGTACAGAGGAGCTGCATGAAGACAATTTCAGGAACCAGATGAGATGCTACACTTGATAATGTATTTTTCTGCAGAATCACAACTTGATATGTGATTACTGAATTTTAAAATGCCTCTAAAATTATTGTTTAATACACTGGCAAGTATCTTGATTCAGTACATAATGTAACTAAATACAATCAATTGCATTTTAGTAAACTATATGATTTCTCTTCTTCCATTCCAAAATTGGCAGCAATGTAGAACTATGCAGCTGAAACAATGTCAATGCTACAGTGAAATATTTTATAACATATTAACAAAAAACAGCCATATGTACATTTGTGCCTGAAGCAGCTTGTTAAGCACTGGAATGATTCTTCAGAAATATTTGAAAAATTTTCACCACAGCATCAAGTCCATAAAACATATAAAAAAAAAAAAAAATTGGAAACACGTGATCTAAAAACAAACAAAAACAATCTGTATATTTTGATGGTCAGACTGGTAACATTTTACAGGCCAAATGCCATGAACTGCTCAATTTTGAACAATTAGTGTAAACATAATCCTGCAGCTCCACCTATGGCCACTAGGGGCATTATGTAATTCATTATGGTCAACAAAGAAATATGTACTTTTTCTTTTCTCACATGATCTCTGTCTTAGCCATATGTAGATAGTGGAAGTGCACTCAACCCTTTGTCATGGAATTCAAGGTGCTCTAATGGATAAGTCCCAGTACCCGGAAGGACAAAACATGGAATTTTGAATATAGAAAATAATCCAGGCACTCCAACGAATTCCAAAGCAAAGGCAATTTTATTAAAACCAGGAACCAAAAGACAATGTTTCGACCCCTTAGGGCCCCTAAGGGGTCTAAACATTGCCTTTTGGTTCCAGATTCTAATAAAATTGCCTTTGCTTTGGAAGTCGTTGGAGTGCCTGGATTATTTTCTATATTCAAAATTCCATGATCTCTGTCTTGTCTGAAGGCTATTGGACAGATATCCAGGTTCAAACAGTCTGGAGCATGAGTTTATTTGTTTTACATTAACAATACATACAACATAGCCTAAATTCTTGCTTGAACACCGGTTGCTAGGTATATACAGCTAGGTCCAGAAATATCTAGACGCTGACACAATTTTTTATAATTTTGGCTTTGTGTGCCACCATAATTGATTTGAAATGAAACAACTGAGATGCAATTGAAGTGTAGACTTTCAGCTTTAATTCAAGTGGTTGAACAAAAATATTGTATGAAATGTTTAGGAATTGCTATCATTTTCATACACAGCCACCTTATTTCAGAGGCTCAAATGTTTTGCAGGCAATGACTGCTTGAAGTCTGGAACGCATGGACCCTCTGTATTTGCTCTTGTGAAGTCTTCTCTCCATGGTAGAATTGGATAATACTATGCCTACCTCCCGGAGAGTGTTGTTGACTTGGCTGGATGTTGTGATGTGGTTTCTCTTTACCATGGATAAGATCCTGTGATCATCCACAACTATTGTTTTATGTGGATGTCAAGGCCTTTTTGTGTTGCAGAGCTCACAAGTGTGTTCTTTTAATGTACCAATCTGTTTATTTGGCCACTCCTAACGTTCCTGCTCTCTTATGGATTTTTATTTTTTTAGCCCGCATCTGTCCATGAAACATCTTTGGATTTAACTGTCCAAAAATTTTTAGTCCCTTAAAAAAGAGGGTGCTATATAGACCTGTCATTTCTAAACCCTTCCTCCAATTTGGATGTGAATACTCTAAAATTAAAGCGGAGAGACTGCATTTTAAGCCAATGTTCGTTATTTAAATGTAACTTGAATTTATTTTATTTTTGGTAAACAACCATAAAAACAAAACTGGTGTCAGTGTCCAAGTATTTCCAGACATCACTATATGTATAATCCTAAAAAGTCTTATTACTTGTTACAATTAGGTCAATTCTTTTCTTAAAGGACCACTCTAGGCACCCAGACCACTTCAGCTTAATGAAGTGGTCTGGGTGCCAGGTCCAGCTAGGGTTAACCCATTTTTTCATAATTATAGCAGTTTCAGAGAAACTGCTATAATTATGAATGGGTTAAGCCTTCCCCCTAATCCTCTAGTGGCTGTCTCATTGACAGCCACTAGAGGCGCTTGCGTGCTTCTCACTGTGAAAATCACAGTGAGAGCACGCAGCGTCCATAGGAAAGCATTGTAAATGCTTTCCTATGAGACCGGCTGAATGCGCGCGCAGCTCTTGCCGCGCGTGCGCATTCAGCCGGCGGGGGGGAGGCGGAGAGGAGGAGGAGAGCTCTCCGCCCAGCGCTGGAAAAAGGTAAGTTTTTACCCCTTTCCCCCTTCCAGAGCCGGGCGGGAGGGGGTCCCTGAGGGTGGGGGCACCCTCAGGGCACTATAGTGCCAGGAAAACGAGTATGTTTTCCTGGCACTATAGTGGTCCTTTAACTTTATTTTTTTGATATAGATAATTTCTCTGTCTCCCATTATCAAGAGGTTATATAATTGGATCATTGATGGAGTCATCAAATTGGAGGTATGCTAGTGTTGCAGAGACAAGGCAGCACTTGATCAGAGTAATGTGGAAGCATTTTTGTGTAGGCAGTATTACCCTATTTCTTGCACTGAACTTTTTTAAGAATGTATCCAGATTTTCAGAGGTAGAACATTCTGATTTCAGAATGACATGCAGGAGGTATTTAAAGATAAAATTAACAACATTGTGCACACATAGTTTTAGGGGATAAATTCACAGAATATGTGTACATTTTGCCTATTATATTACTCAACAAGTCTTTTATTTTTATCAAATTTGGACTTTTCCAGCACAAATAGTTACAGTTAGATATACTTTCTATTTTGTCTATAAAAAAAAAAAAAAAACCTAATAATTAAACCTGATGTAAGCAGAGCTTTTATTTTTACATAGCTAACATTCTTCAAGTGAATGCCCAGAATTTTTAATTACTTGTAAGCAACCCTCCGTCACATGGTGATCATACGGCGCAGGCATGTGATGTCAGACATTGGTGATTTATGTATCCAGGAAAAAATTTCAAAGTGAATTACATTAATTTTAAATAAAAATTAAACACAGAGGCATTTTGAAAGTTAAAGAGCTACTATAAGCAACGTATCCACAACAGCAGTGGTGGACATAAGGGAAAAAAGGTAAGAGTGCACAGTGTGTTTTTCAAACTGTTACAATATTATGGGTCTTCTTGGCACCTAAAGCCCATCAGTCTACCACCATAGAAAATGAAAAGGGTTTCCGAGCATCTAACGTCTACAGCATTATGTACTGAGATCCCTGTAAGGGTAATAATCCTGCAATAAGCAGGATTCAAATGGCCATTGTTACTTTCAATGACATTGAGTTGCCATAGGCTTCTAGTTGGCTATACGCAATAGTGGTTATGGTATTTAAAGTTCCTCTAAAGTGACAGAATATTTTACTTATGCCAGTAGCATAAAAAAAAACAAAGTATTTTTCATGTATATGAGATACTTGTGGTTAAATTAGAATAAGACCATATTCAGATTTTCACAGCATTGAAACCTCCTGTCTAATATCGTGTTGATATCCTAGACCCTTTGTGCTGCCAAAACAGCTTGATGCATCGAGGCATGGACTCTTCAAGACCTCTGAATGTGTCCTGTAGTATCTGAAACAAAGTCATTAGCAACAGATTATTTAAGTCATTCAAGTTGCGAGGTGGGCCACCTCCGATTGGATTTGTTGTTCCAGCACGTCTCACAGATGTTCAATCGAATTGAGATCTGTGGAATTTGGAGGCCAAGGCAAAACCTTGAACCATATATCATGTTCCTTAAACCATTCCTGAATAACATTTGCAATGTGGAATGGTGCATTATCCTGCTGAAAGAGGCCACTGCCATCAGGTAACACCATTGTCATGAAAAGGTGTACATGGTATGCAATAATCTCTAGCTAGGTAGTACATACCAAAGTAATATCCACATGAATGTCAGGACCAATATTTTCCCAGCAAAACATAACACTGCCTCCGTCAGCCTACCTTCTTCCCAAACTATGCACATGCACTTAGTCATCCACCTGATCTAAAAGAAAACATAATTCATAAGGAAACTTTCTTTCATTGTTCCATGATCCAGTTCTGATTCTCATGCCCCCATTGAAGGATCCTTTGGAAGTAAACAGGGGTCATGATGACACACTGACCATTCTGTGGCTATGCAACCCCATATGTAGCAAACTGTGTGATGGAGCTCAAGTACTCTGACCAAGTCTGCGTTCTTGTAGCTATCAGGGACCCTGGAGCACTTCAGACCCAGTTGCCGAGGCTTCACTGGGATCACTGAAGGCCTTTTCCACCCTGGACCAAACACCAGACGACACTTGGTGAAGGTTAAAACAACAACTAACTTTAATATACATAGAACACATATTTTAAGCCCCTGACATCCTTGTTTACATACAGTATGGTGCAAAGAGTACTATAGTACAAGGAAGGGTGGGGTCAGACAGTGGCAAGGGCTAATAGGAGATTGAAAAGGGACAGGGCAGCTAGTTTATATTGATCTGGCAGTATCCCTGAGACAACACCCTGCTGGGGAAACAACAGGACAGGAAAAGTGTTGAGGGAGAGAGGCACAGACAAGAAATACATTCAAACATATACTGCACCAATAATAGGCACAGGGTGACCAAAACACAAAAGGAATCTGGGGACCAACACATGTCTGTCTTCCATCCCCAGTTATGGTGACTATCGTCACACTGTGATGCACCATGTGTTCGGGCATCTTTCTATTATGGCTAACATTAAGTTTTTCAGCAATCAGAGCTACAGTAGCTCTTCTGTGTGATCAGACCAGATGGGCTAGCCTTCACTAATGTTGGTTCACTGGTTGTCCTTGCTTGCACCACATTTGGTAGGTACTAACCACTGCTTACCGGGAACATCCCACAAGTTGTTTTGAAGATACTATGAACCAGTCATCCAGTCATCACTATTTGCCCCTTGTCATAGTCACTCAGATATTTTTGCTTGCCATTTATTCTACCTCCAACATATAAAATCCAAGAATGGATTGTTCACTTGCTGCCTAATATAACCCACCCCTTAACAGGTGCCACTGTTATGATATAATTATGAATTTGTAAAGTCCTCTGATGAGTACAATATTGAGGTCTATGGAAAATCCCACGACACTGCGGAATCCTACATAGACAGAGCCAATTCCCTGCAGCCGTCACTGATGACAGTTGCAGGTCTTGATACATATTATTTTATCTTTATGAAATACTCATTTTTAATATGGGGGGTGACAGTGCAGCTTTAAATGTCTACTTAATTTGGTGCTTGTGCTATCTGTCCTGTTCCTCCCTAGCACTTTCTGTAACAAGATGTATGTGATGCCTCTAGTGTTAAATGCGAACAATAATTTAAAGGGGCATTCCAAACCCCTAAAGTACTTTAGAATATGCCACTTTTATACATGAAACTTGTTACAAACCTCAGCTGCAAACAACAGATTCCTGTTACTTCCTGGTTTGTTTAGCTAAGTAGAACTAAACTCAAGAGCCAGAAACTTTTCTGATTGCACAGCCACAGAAAGTCTGTGTGAAGGGAAGCTTGCAGATGCTGCAGAGAAAACTTTTGCAAGCATTTTTTTAGATATACCCTCAATGGAAAAATGTATAATTAAATACATGGCAAAAAGATGTTTAGGTGCTCACTAAAATATGTGGGAGGTGAGGGCAGCAGAGAATTTAACAAGTATTCCCAAAAACCATGTGCAAATACAAAGTATACCAAAACAAGAGTTAGATAAAGTACGCCAGAATGAAGGAGAAAAAACAACAACTTTTAAGTGTAACTATATATATACGCATATATACATACATACAGATACGCATATATACATACATACAGATAAGCATATATACATACATGGACCAGTAGAAGGTCTTTGGATTTGGTTTAAACAACCTCCAAAAAAAGAAATAGACAAACAAAAGTGCAATATGAATTTACAGTGTAACGGTTTATTCATAATGTATAGGGGACCAACTCACACTTTTAGTAGCTGCTTAGAGCTCTATTAGAGACCTAAGGTAACCCTGGAGGAGCTGCAGAATTCCACAGCAGAGACTGGAGTATCTGTACATAGGACGACAATAAGCCGTAAGCTCCATAGAGTTGGGCTTTATGGCAGAGTGGCCAGAAGAAAGCCATTACTTTCAGCAAAAAACAAAATGGCACGTTTTGAGTTTGCGAAAAGACATGTGCTAAACACACTGCTAAGGCAACACTTGTGTGGTTTAAGGGGAAACATGCAAATGTGTTGGAATGGCCTAGTCAAAGCCCAGACCTCAATCCAATAGAAAATCTATGGTCAGACTTAAAGATTGCTGTTCACAAGCGCAAACCATCCAACTTGAAGGAGCTGGAGCAGTTTTGCAAGAAGGAATGGGCAAAATCCCAGTGGTAAGATGTGGCAAGCTCATAGAGACTTAGACAAAGCGACTTGGAGCTGAGATTTCCACAAAAGGTGGCTCTACAAAATATTGACTTTAGGGGGGTGAATAGTTTAGCACATTGACTTTTTCTGTTATTTTGTCCTATTTGTTGTTTGCTTCACAATTAAAAAAAAATCTTCAAAGTTGTGGGCATGTTCTGTAAATTAAATGATGCAAATCCTCAAACAATCCATGTTAATTCCAGGTTGTGAGGCAAGAAAACACGAAAAATGCCAAGGGGGTTGAATACTTTTACAGGTCACTGTAGGTGGTACAATTCCCATCTCAGGATATATGTAGATCTCGGTGGTGGGCATTCTCTACATCCAATGACAGCACAATTTGTAAAGACTAAAAAGGGAGTTATAATGGTACATTATATATATCTATATATATATATATATATATATATAGGAAATACCCTACTTACTCTTTTTCAGAAGAAGGACCTGCTGTGGTCGTTAAGGTCCTAGGTGGTATACGCCCTATCTGGGACATGCAGAAAGCCAGCAAGTAATAAATCATCTATTCTAATGTGTATATATATGATTTCTCATTTAAGATAATATATTGTAAATACTATAAAAATAAGAAAACTATAGAATCATACAATAATGGGTTCAAATACCACACTTTACACGATTCACGCTGGGGGCTTTTTCAGATGTGTGGTGTCCTCCTGTATTTACCAAGTGTATATGTGTGTTTATATAGTTACATACATGCACATTTTAATTTTGGGTATATCTACAACACAGTGGAACCCCCCTCCCCCCCCCTCTAATATTTGCAGGGGAGCATCCCTTTAACTTTATATATATATATACGTTTTATATATATTATTATCTATAACTTTATATATATGACTCTCCTCTATCCAGGTACAGTTCTTCTGTTGCAACTTGTCTAATGGACACCAATATGACACCCATTATCGTATCAGGAAGGTTTTATGCCCCCACCTGCCATGGGCAACAGGGTATCTACAAGACTGTGCTAAAGATACTTAAAGGGGCACTCTAGTCACCCAGATCACTTCAGCTCATTGAAGTGGTTTGGGTGCACTGTCTCAGGCCCCTTAGGGGGGAAGAATGCAAGAGATGGGGCACTATAGGGAACTATAATGCTAGGAAAACACCTTTGTTTTCCTAGCACTATATTATCCCTTTAAATGCTGCACATACATACTCCAAGCACAATAGCCACTTCAAATCACTGAAGAAGTCCTGATACTTGAAGTAAACCTTTAAATAATTTATAGTCAGCATTTGGGGGATTGCAAATCAATAGAAACAAAATAGGTGCGAGTTTATCCACTATGCAAAAGGTTGTGAGTTTATAAAGCCAATGGAAAAAAATATCCGCCTCAGCTGAGTTGCAGAACTTCGTCATCTCAGCTTATTGACCTACATTTTTTATCTAAGTAAACGTACTGTTTAGAGAATAATGAGTGCCCCCATTAATGTTCTCTAGGAGACATGCCTTAAAAAAAAACTAAGTACGCTGGTTTATGTAGCCCGTCCAATATACATGTGCAAATCAATGCTGCCTGCACATATGCTGAATATGAATAACCAGTATTCCGAGAGTTTGATCCAGTACGCTCAATGTTTCGTTTGTTTTGATCCAGTTTCCTGGGATACTGCCTGTGAAGGCAGATTGTGATGTCAGAAACATGCCAAGGGAAATTATTTGACTCGATAAACTTGGAATGACAAAAAGAATTTACAGTGAACATTTGTGATTCACATTTCTCCCACATTTGAAAAATGTCCCAGATTTGGCCTCTGAAGTTACTAGTTATAAAAATATACTTTCAAACTAAAGGGAAACTAGAAGGGGGTATATGGAAAATTGGGAAGTGTTATTTATATCATGTTTTTGATGTTCCTGGAAGCACAGGTAAAAGTAAATGTTCCAGTTGCACTTTGTAAATAAAAAAAAAAAAAGAATAATTTAGCTACAAACTGTAAGCAAGGCATTTTAGATTGCAATAAATGAACGGTGATTTATATCAATATGTTATATATTATTAATGCTTTGTCAGAGGAAGGCTAACTGAACAATGTGCATGTACAGTAGTTAATAACAGAAGCACGTTTCTAGAGAAATATTTTTGGACATACTTAAAACATTTTCCAGAGTGGCTCACAAAGTCTGCCGTTGAACTTCTTTGTGGAATTAGTGAGGTCCCATTGACCTGAGCAAGGGAATGTTAAAATGTTTTAAGTGAGTCCAATAAAAATGGGGTCACGTGCTATTTGAATGCCAAACATTAACATTGTTGTTTGTTTCTTGAAAAATGAGACGGGGTTGCTGATAATAAATATTACAGTAGAAGGAAAGTATTATAATGGAGTTCATGTTAACCACTGCTGTGCAAGAGTGATTCGACTGTAAAGTAACATTTTTTTTTTTTTTTTTTAATTTGAAGTTTATTGACTTTTTCATATATGCATAACTTGGGTGGGTTAGGGTACAGAAAGGAAGGGGGGGGGGGCAGGTTGTCAGCAATCACATTTATACAGTTACAGTTATACAGCGGCTTCTAGGCATATTTACATTTTCCCAGCTGTGCAGTTGACAAAGGTTTTCCATGACATATCTCCCTCTGTGCGCTGCATAGCGTTAGCTGGGTTGTTTGCCGTTACACCTAGTTGGTGATGTCGACTCCACCTTTTGCGGGCCTTGGTGGGTGGTTTGCGTTCTACCCTCTAGTGTGTCTATAGCTTCCAGCACTCGTACCTCGGGTTTTGTGCTAGCCTTCCATGTCTTGTGTGCCTCATATATATGTGTGCGTGCCCCAAATTGTGCTGCTGCCATGAGTTCGTACTCCCAGTTTTGTTTTACCTGTTTTATTACGCCCTGAAGTGTGGGGGGCATTGTTTTTTTTCCACAATCAGGTTTGCTGATATGATGATGTGGTAGAGAATTGTCCTGATGCGTTTCGGGATGCCCCTAGGCAACATAAACAAAATGCATGTTTGTGGATTATCTAGCCTGGGTGTCGGTAGCAGTTTTTGTAATAGTTGGGTCACCTCCTTCCAAAATGGGCTAAGTTTGGCGCAGGACCACCAGATATGTAACATGGTCCCCACCTCTCTCCAACATCTCCAGCATTTGTTGTTGGTGGTTGGCCACATCTTGTGGAGTTTGTCTGGCACTAAGTACCAGCGGTACAGTATTTTGCGTTGTAATTCTAGGTGTGTGTTACATGCTGTGAGTCCCTGGTGTGCCAAATATGCACGGTCCCATGTGTCATCTGGGAACGTCTGTCCCAGCTCTTGGTGCCACGCCTGTTTAATCTTATCTAATGTTTGTGCTTGTGTTGTGATCAGCTCCTGGTATCCCCAGGACAGGGTTTTCCCTAGTTTCTTTATACCCACACAATGTTTTTCAAATTGCGTCATATTTATTCCGTCTTCCCATTTGTCTTCAGCGTCCAGTTTGCTTGAGACGTATGATTTTAGTTGCATGTGTGAGAATATGACCTTACTGGGCAATGTGTATTCCTCCTGAATAGCTGGTAGTGGTTTCAGACGCCCCCTGTCTATCACCTGATATATATGGTGTATCCCCACTTTCGCCCATGTCTCCCACGGGAAAGTTGGGATGTCCAGCCCTATTGTTTGTAGTGGTGTGGCCATGGGAAGTGTTTGCTTTGCCACCAGTTTATCTCTTATTCTGTGCCATATTTGTAGTAGGGTCTGGGTGCTGGGCAAGAGTTTGTCCTGGGTGTGCCTGGGGCATTTTTCCTGCCATATCAGCGCTCGTAGGTCTCATCTGGGCGCCCAGTGCGATTCTATGGCTACCCATTGTGGTGCGTTGGTGGGGAGGTTTATTTGTGATATGTTATGGAGGTACGCTGCTCTGCAGTAGGCCGTCAAGTTCGGGAGGCCTAACCCTCCCCTGCGTACCGCCTGTTGTAGGGTCCCTGCTGCTACTCTTGCTTTTTTCCCCTCCCAGATGAAGGTGTTGATGGTGTGCTGCATGTTTTTGAGGTATTGCTTTGGTAGGGGTATCTGCAGCGTACGAAAAAGGTATTGGATTTTTGGTATTAGCGACATTTTTGTAAAGTAACATTTTGATGATCATTGCCAACATTTTATTCCACACATAAAAACGTTACAGAATATGAACAGGGCCGAACTGGGAAGAAAATTTGTCCCGGGCATTTTTTAAATTACAGTGGCCCACTGAAAAGGGGGCGGGGTCAGATAGGATGTGTTTTGTCAATGACAAGCATGCCCCATCACAAAGTGAGCATGTTGGTTCAATGCTCTTCCAGGGCAGACCATGTGCAGAGCCCTGCTGAAGAGCTCTAGCATGAGAACAAGGCCTTGTATTTGTTCTGTACAGAACAAGCAAATTTAATAACATGTTTGCACTGTGTTTGCTTGAAATTTGTCTCTGGTGTTTCCATGGGTGGGATACCAGGAGACAAAAATGCAAGGAAAGAGTATTGTGCAGTGTGTTTGTGTGAGGGTGATGTGTGTGAGGGGTGTAGTGTGTGTGCAAGAGGGGTGCAGTGTGTGTGCTGTGTGTGAGTGATGAGTGCAGTGTTTGAGTGAGGGTGCTGTGTGCGTGTGAGGAAGCTGTGAGTGTCAGGGATGCAGTGTGTGTGTGTGTGTGTGTGTAAGGGTGCTGTGAGTGTCAGGGGTGCTGTGTGTGAGGGGTGCAGTGTGTGTGCTGTGCGCGAGTGATGGGCGCAGTGTGTGTGAGGGTGCTGTATGCGTGTAAGGAAGCTATGTGTGTGAGGGTGCAGTGAGTGTGTGTGAGGGTGCTGTGAGTGTCAGGGGTGCAGTGTGTGTGTCCTGTGAGTGTCAGGGGTGCAGTGTGTGTGTGTAAGGGTGCCGTGAGTGTCAGGGGTGCTGTGTGTGTGTGTGTGTGTGTGTGAGAGAGGGTGCTGTGTATGAGGGGTGCAGTGTGTGTGTGCTGTGTGCAGTGTGTGTGAGGGTGCTCTATGCATGTGAGGAAGCTGTGTAATAGAGGGTGCTGTGAGTGCCAGGGGTGCAGTGTGTGTGTGTGAGTGAGGGTGTTGGTGTGTGAATATGTTTGGAATATGTTTGTGTTTCCATAGGTGGGATACCAGGTGACAAAAATGCAAGTAAAGAGTATTGTGCAGTGTGTGTGTGAGGGTGCTGTGTGTGTGTGAGAGTGATGTGTGTGAGGGGTGCAGTGTGTGTGTGAGTGATGGGTGCAGTGTTTGAGTGAGGAAGCTGTGAGTGTCAGGGGTGCAGTGTGTGTGTGTGTGTGTGTGTGTAAGGGTGCTGTGAGTGTGAGAGGGTGCTGTGTGTGAGGCAGGCAGTGTTTGTGTGCTGTGTGCGAGTGATGGGTGCAGTGTGTGAGGGTGCTGTATGCGTGAAAGGAAGCTGTGTGTGTGAGGGTGCAGTGAGTGTCAGGAGTGCAGTGTGTGTGTGTGTGTGTGTGAGGGTGCTGTGAGTGTCAGGGGTGCAGTGTGTGTGCTGTGAGTGTCAGGGGTGCAGTGTGTGTGTGTGAGTGAGGGTGCTGTGAGTGTCAGGGGTGCAGTGTGTGTGTGTGAGTGAGGGTGCTGTGAGTGTCAGGGGTGCAGTGTGTGTGTGAGGAAGCTCTGTAATTGAGGGTGCTGTGAGTGCCAGGGGTGCAGTGTGTGTGTGAGTGAGGTTGCTGGTGTGTGAATATGTTTGCAGGGCTTTTGTGTTGGGGGGGAGGGAGCAAATTATCAATATATATTAATTTTAAAAAAAATAAACAAATGTTGATTGTATCCCCCCTCCTTTCTTACCTTTAGCCTGGGATGGGGGCCCATGTTGCCATCCCTGGTGGTGCTAGTGGTGAGTGAACTCTAGCCTGGGGAGCTAGAGTTCACTATCGCGAGACCCGGAGCATTGCAAGATAGAGTTTCTCCAGGTTCCTCTCCTCTCTGTCTCCCTCCCCAGCTGGCAGCCGCATCACACTGCATGTGGGCTGGTGAGGGAGATCTTTAATCTCCCCACCAGCCCATCATGGAAAACAGCGGGGCAGTGCTCGGATAGTGCCGGCCCTGCATGGACCGGCTGGAGAGATCCCTGCTGGCCTTGGTCCATGGACATTGCGGCCCAGTCCGATGGCCAGTCCGGGCCTGAATACGAATGATGAACGATTCCGATTCCATAGGGGAACTTTGGAACTTGGAAAAATTTTCAGGCAATGGTGTGCAGGATTTAATCACATCACCTTGATTTGCCCCTACAATAATCGCTATTGATCCACTTTGTAACAACAGTACTTTTCTAGATTCAAGACAGTCAAGGTTCATGGGTCAAATAGTCTCATCAAGCCATTTTTTATTCTTCTCCTAAGCGCTCTAGTTTTCATAAAATGCACAAGGGAATAGGGATTACTTTTCTTTGTGTATAACAGTCAAGTTTGCAAAACTTGACAATGAGGGAATTTGCACAAGGTTTTATTTCAGTTGTTAATCAAATTTAATCACAATCCATCTGTAAAATCAATCCCACAGAAGGGAAAACTGCAGACATCATAAGCAGTGGAGAACAAAATGGCTGCACCCAGATATTGAGATCTAGCAAAAGAAAGAAAAGGTAATAAATACCA